CAGATAATGTTGGGCTTACCTCCAGATCGTCACCATGTTGCAATCCCTGATGTTTCAAAAGTCACCAGGAGAAAGTGAAACTTAAGTTTGCAGGGTATGTTTCTGTTTCCATTTCCAGCGCTGCGGTGATGGCCGCTGACAGAGCGAGTCTTGACTGTGGCATGCAGAACTTGTTTGGTTCTTCGGCCGTTTCTTACTTTAAACACTCCCTGAACAAGGCGAGTGCTGTTCCGACTCAGTCTTTCCTGAAGGTGTGCCAGGAGTGAGGGCAGGCGGGCTGGTGTCTCCCTGCCCAGTGTCCTGAGTTTTCACAGCCCTTTCCAGTGGCTGTGCTGTTCGTTGCCCTATGCCACTGGGTCCCGAGAAGGCGGCGAACGGGACTTAAACCTGCAAGTGCCTGCATCACGATATATGTATCATTAACCACTGACACTAACAACTGCTCATACAGTTACACAATGAATGACCAGATTCTATGCCCCCCCTTCCCCCTAGTTACTCTAAGATGTACAGTTAAACCTCGTTTGGCTAATGACCTGTTTTGAGTTTTGCAACAAATAGTTTCAGGGAGTGAATTTGCTTGTCTTTTCCAGACAGAATCTCTGAGCAGATGACGGTTATAAATCATTCTGCTTGTGTTATGTTATCCTGATCATCATTTTAAATGTTGTTCCACTCCACTTATATGGACATATAAAATGTAGCATGTGAGTGAAATCTGCCCAAACGATCTATTAAAATAATAAGTTTAGTGTCATTGTGAGGTGGCGGGGTGGGCGGGGGGGGGGGGGGGGGGGGGGGGGCGTAGAATCTACACCCTTCTCATGCCCTTCCTGCTTCCTGCACACAACCAGGTTTGGGAAGCCCTCTAGACTTGGATCAGGACCCCTCCCCCTCTTAGCCCCTATCCCCCCCCCAAAAGCCCCTCTTCATTCTCATATCCCCTCACCCCTCCCCTAACCCTCGTCACATGCTTAAGGAATTTTCTCCAGCATTAGATACCCGAGCAATTCCACCGTGTGCCTCTGGGGCTGCAGTGTTGTTGCTGTGGATAACTGCCTGATCCTGTGGGTAACTGCCTGATACTGTGGGTAACTGCCTGATCCTGTGGGTAACTGCCTGATCCTGTGGGTAACAGACTGATTCTGTGGGTAACAGACTGATTCTGTGGGTAACTGCCTGATCCTGTGGGTAACTGCCTGATTCTGTGGGTAACTGCCTGATCCTATCTGCTGGCCATTCATGCTGAGGTGTGTGTGCAGTCGAGAAAGTTTGGCAAAAGCTCCAGTGCTGGCCGTGCGACTGATGGGGATCCCCTGGAAAACCTGGGATGACCCTTATCGCGGGTTTGGACTGGAAGTGCATGTATTGGTAACTGGAAGCAGAGCTCCTACTGTACAAGGTCTATGACTGGGGTAACAGAGGCGTGGGCGTCTCCCTTGTCGCAGTCCCAGAGTGTCACAGGGCAGGGCGTGTATTTCACGTCACATGCTTAGGGAATTTTATACATTCTTGTATACATTCTTGAACATTAAACCTTTATAAGAAAATAATAAAAAGTCAGGGTTGTGTTGGGCCATTATTATGGAAATCTGGGAGCTCAAGACCATCCACCAGTGAGCTACAGTTCATCACGAGCTTCAGAGCAAAACTTAATTTGCTCCAGGTGGTGCAATTTGATTCAGATTCAAGACAATAATCAATTAATTGCAATTAATTACACACAATTAAAAACAGTGTATAAGTGATCTATCCATCCATGCACCCATGTATAGTGACATTTCTGCTCCAGATAGCAAAAGCAAAACACAGGGCACACCAGCTCAATGCAGAGTACACTCTCAATATCCCACAATAGAAGCAATTTAGCTGCACCTAAGATTGCTCACACGGGGGGATGTATACAGTCCCCATACACCCAGCTGGGTGTGTATATATATATGCTGATCTTGCTCTGTTGAGTTAGGTAACCTGAGACAGGTTGTTAGTCATGGTACTTTATGTGATACATTTTCACCTCAAGTTGCATGCTTGGCATATTGCTTTGAAGTTTGGAATGAATTTTCATATATTTGTATAACATTTACAGAGAGTTCTTTTCTAAACAGGATGCCAACCCATCAGAGAGCACATAAGGTACCAATCAGCCTCACTGAAGATCTTTGGGAAGATACACTCCTCACTAAGATTGGAGGAGAAATTCAAACCCATAACCTTGCAAGTGGGAGGCAACAGTGCTACTCACTGGGCCAAAGAGCAGCCAGTTAACTGGACAACTTAGCATTAATCAAAGCTAAACGGCAGAGCACTGCCTCCAGCTGCCCCAAGCTCTTCCGGAGGGGAAACATCATAGCAGATATCTGAAGCTGTGAACACATCAAAACAACGAATTTGCATAATAGTGCTTAAGAGTTCACAGAAAAACTAAAGCATGTCTGTAGGTCAGCCGCTGATTGGACAGATGCATGCAACATTGCATGGTAACAATGCTTTTTGTATTTATTTTGTAATAATTGGGCACAAGAGGACAACTCTCCATGTAACCGTGACACCAGAGAAAAACACATCCACTGACAGAAAATGATATTTTTACCTCCAAGCAGGCTGGCTGCTTGTTCCTTATACAGATGTTTCTCAGGGGTCAGTGTGTGAGAGTGGCTTTAGCTCTATGACTCATTCCTGCTTTAAATAAGTGGGGAAAAATCCAGTAGACATGGAAGAATTTAGTTTATAAGTCAAAAGGGATGGAATGGAACTGAGCAGACCGATTAATGTGCTAAACTGATAGATGAAAAGATTTTGGCTGCTTAACCTCCGCAAACATCTGGATTTAGAATTATTTGTACTCTTTATCAAAAGTGCTTATAGGTCATTGAGTATAAGTAGAGAAATCAGTAATAGTTCCGAGGCCTCCAATACATATGGGGAATCAGTAGGCATGTATTCTCGCAAGGGGTTTTCCACGTAGAACCTCCATAATGCCCTGTTGTTTCAGAACATCTGCTAAGCAACTAAATCCATGTCTCATGTGTTCCTGGCCATAACAGGCATAAGTTACAGGGGTGGGAGGGTGGTAACCCCCCAATAATTAAAACCGACCAATACAACCCCCCGGAACCTCCTAAATGGGTGGAGACTTCAATCCCCCCTCCCCCAATGTTCAACCCAAAGCTATGCCCTTGGTTTTGGGTCTTGCAGAAGAGTGGAAGGGATTCCGCGATTGTGAATCCTCTGGGAAGTCCGTTCCACTCTGTGACTTTTTGTTGAAGTTCAGACAGACAATGCTCTTACTGCAGCGGTCCTGGATGCCTGTACCTGGCATTTAAGCCTCAACAAGTGCTCTAGGGGGACCAGGTACAAATCTGATAGGGGGTGCAAGACTTTTATGGCGGGTCAGTAGCGATGCTACCAGAATGCCAGATTTGGGGGTGATTGTGAAAGCTGCTGACCAGGGGGTGGCTGGCACAGACTGATAGGGGCATTTTGCCAACCTTGGCCTGGACCCCAAGCTTTGTTTGTATTGTAAGAAAATGAGTGAGAGGAGAAGGCATGCAGTGCAGTGTCAGCCTGGTTTGGTTCATCCCTAAAACGGTACTGTCAGCAACAGGCATGACAAGACTGGAGAAAGTCAAGGGTCTCTGAAGATACTCACACGCACTTGTTAAAAGTCTTGCATTTCTGTCTGGGGTTGGGGTGCGTGAGGGACAGCCTGATAGCAGGATCCCAGACACTGCAAAAGCTTTAGAAAATTGCAGATTCTTGCCACGTTCTGTTTTTCAATTGTCAAAACTGTAGATCTTTCATTTTTTTCTCTGTTGTCTGAATAATAGTCTTGGAGATATTTCGAGATATTATGCAGCTGAATTTTGGTATCAGAAAATCTCTGAGCTCGGCAGTGCTCGAGCACTGATATCATTTCTGCATGCCTTCTTCTTCTGGTGACATTAATGTTGAAGGTTCCTATTTCACCATGTAACTCGACAAGGTACATAACATACCTGTCATTTGAGGTCACTATAATCAACATTTTGATGAATATGAAATTAGCTTCACTGATTGAACTTTCATGACCCAAGTGAAGATGAAAGTGATAAAAGGAGAGAAAGAATACACCCGTCCTCCTACAGTAAGTGAAAACGTTCATTAACATTGTAAAAACAAGTATATGTCAAACAAAGTTATCCGAACTTATGCAGCTTACATAAGTGACTATGCTTTTCAGCTCATGTCCACAGGTCCGGAACGTTGATAGGTTCTATCACCAATGTAGCCCCTCTAGTGTTGAGAGTTCTATGTCCAGATCATGTTTACGCAGGGTTCTCTCTAACTTTTCAAAAATGTTATGCCGACATGCCGATTGAGGGTAGTAAATTTAAGAAATTTAACCATTCCCACTTTTGATACGGTTAACCTTCAGTTTTTTCATGCATTCGTTTAAATGTGTTTTCTCCAGGTCCTTTCATGTCTGCCACTGTAGCGGGATAGTATCAAAGACATTGTATATGCACGGTTGCCTAGACTGCCTAATGGTAACGTCCACCTCTGTTTCCACCCACTTGTCCTGGGGTCTGTATCACAAAGCCAGATTCCTTGCTTAGCCGGATAACTATGGGGATAAGTAGAAGTAACCCTGGTTTTTCGATATCACGATGCTGGGGGCTCATTTATAGAAACTTTGTAGAAACTAAATAACCACGAAAATTCATACACACATTCATAAGAAGATTTTGGGATCTATAAATAAACAATATGAATAAAACATACCCTGAAAAAGTTTGTCCATTTACGAATGGTCCAGAGTAGTCCTACGAACGCTTTGGAGGAAAAGGAAAAAAGCAACATCTAGAGTTAAGATAGAATTAATCCTATGCATCTAAATTGCATTTACAATTAGCTGTGAACCACCCAGATTGCACAGGTGGTAAACCAGCTAAGGGTAGGGAAGGCCGCAGGGATCTGTGGTGTCCAGGGTGAACTTCTCCAGGCTGGTGGTGAGGCTGTCCTCCTGGCATTGCAGGCAATCTTTGCTTCCGTTTGGGAGACGGGCATCATCCCAACTGACTGGAAAACCGGACTTCTTGTCCCCATCTGGAAAGGGAAGGGTGATCGCCTGGATTGCAGTTACAGGGGAATTACACTGCTCTCAGTGCCGAGTAAGGTCCTTGCTAGGGTCATCCTCATTAGAATCAGTAATCACTTGTTCACCTACCAGCAACCGGAGAAGTCTGGTTTTATGCCTAAGAAGTCTACCATGAACCACATCCTGGCCATGAGGGTTCTCATTGAGTGCAAACATAAATATCGGCAGAGTTTCTTTGCAGCTGTTATCGATCTTGAGTTTTTGCGGGATCCCCCAAAGTTGCTTGACATTCTGGGTGGCTTGTACACTGGTACTAT